AAACAATACTTCTAAACCAAAAAATACTAAAAAAAAATAGGTACTCCATTGAAAAAACTAAACTAATTCTTTAAATATTACTAAAAAATTCACCAAAAAAACGCAACAAAACATTGGTAACAAAAAAGAAAATTAATATTATGATATTTTCAATGCATTGCACTCATTAACTTTGAGTTAAGTCCGTGGCTTCCGAAACATGTAAATTATACCAGAATGATTTTCTATTTTTAGGTATTAGAGGCAAGAGCTTATGAAATAATGGATTCCTTTCTTTGTACGCTAATACCCCTTGGTTCTAATTTAACGGCAACTTCTGGGAATTCTTGTAACTTTATTATCTTAGCCTGCAAGAAATCTGGAGTTTTGAATTCTTCGTCATAATGACTACTTTTATATTTTAATTGGTAACGTCCTCTCTCAGCCCGTACTACCACCATATCCTTTAAATATATTCGCGGCTCGTATTTCCGTAGTTTGTGTTGTGGTGCATCCATGACCTTAACGAAATTTTTTTTTGTATTCGTAGACCGAACACACTCTACGAAATTAAACCTTGTCCATCTTCTTCAACGCCAGTTCTACCTGGTGGTGGAAAGAGTCGGCGGACATAAAGATGTGACCTGGTTCAAAATACTTAAGGGTAATTCATTGGGCTGCAATTAAATTACTATTAATAATCTGAACTAAAAATGTAAACAATGTCCAGTTCTTATTTTGCGCCGCGCAGTTATCCAGCCAGAGTTATATTTTCAGAATCTCTTTTATAAACAAGGAAGGCCCGAAAAGCAGAAACTATGTCTTCCTGGTTCCTACCGGATATAGTTTCATTCCAAATGGCCACAAAAGGTACACCCTCCCTTGTTTGAGTACCTAGAGGGACAAAGCTTTCGTTGGAAGCTAAATTCTTGGGCAGAAAATAGCGGATTTGTATTGATCAATTCTTGGCAACATTATCACTTTTTGCAAATCAACCGAGTAAAAAACATCATTCGGATTTTAGAGCGCTAAATCTGTATCTATTTTATACTTAATACGAGTTTCCGTATATTTTAATTTATGTATTTTTTAAGTAACACACCCATTACAAGCTTCGATCAAATTATCGTCTTTATGAGTTGGATCATGGTTGTTGAATATGCCACACTGTTCGCAATGTTCTGACCCAATCTCACCATTGAAATATTCATAGCCTTAACTTATTTTCTATATAACTCAAATGATACTTTTAGATTAGGGTGCTATGAGCAAAAATGTTTATACATCGATGTTATAGTAATATCGCTGGATAAATACAGTTTATTAGGTGCATGTTCACGTTTATAATGTGAAAAACACGAATTGTAAGCTTTTATACGACAAATGATCATATCTTTGTCTATTTGGTTTACACGTTTGTAAATCCCGCGATTGCATTTTTGCTCATCAATTGCTTTTTCAAGACACCTCTAATTCTAGAATCATTTCCAGAGTCATAGCCCAGAGTAGTAAAAAAAAAAGTTTTACAAACCTCAATTTTGTTGTTGTCAACTTTTAAATGGTAAACATTTGTTTTTTTTTCGTTTTTCCCTGCTAATTTGGAGTCTTCATCATTTCAATCATCATTTTCATTATCTGAAGCTACTTAATATTTTATCACAAAAAAGTACGTTACAGTACAGATTATTTTTGTTTGGATGGGTTATAATTTTGAACAAATCTAAACGTACGTTGTTGTTTATTGTTGCGTACGCAATGCTAAAAGTATTTCATGTCACTAGCTATAACCATCATACGTGGCAAATACGTTAGTTATGCTTAGTATTTTCTTTTATACCACCGATGTGTTCCAAAGCGTAACCATCGTATTTGATTTTGTGATGTTTAATGTTGCGTACGTATTGTTAAAAGAATTTGATGTCATTAGTTATAATCATCATAAGTGGCAAATATGTTAGGGTTCGTAAACATAAGTATCACAATAGATTTTGCGATGTTTATTGTTAATAAAACGAGAAGAAAATGTCCATTACGTTGATTATGCTTAACAATAAAATTGAAACTAAATAAGATATTAAAAAACCGCTTATAAGGGGTTGTAGATCTCGTTTCGCTGATCCCAGGTATGTGAATAACTCAAGTTCGCGAAAAGTGTCGATTGCGTTAGATATGATAAGGAGGGCAGTACACCATACCTTTCCTACCTCGTCTTAAGAAGTCACCACATTTTATCGACGTAGAATGAATGGGCTTTAAGCCAATAGGCCACCGAAGCTACCGTTTGGCTTTTAATATAGCCGTTCGACCCTCCACGTCGCTATTCGGATGTCGATGCCACCGCCGCCTCCCGGCCGTCGAAGGAGAGTCCTCACACTTACCGACGCGGAACCAGCTTGAGTCGACCTTGTTTCACCACACTTGTCGCAAGGCCATTCTGTCAACACCGCCGATTGGCCGTCGACGCCGCGGTTCCGCTGTCGTCGCTGTCGATAGGGTTATGAAAGAGTTGCTGACTTCTCATTCCCATGAGTTTTTCAATTACTCCTCGGTATTTTGAGTTGGAGATACCATATAAATGGCGATATTCCCGACTGATATAAAATCAATTTTTCTTCAGTCATTCTAAGAAACACAACAACTCTTTGATCAACGCACTCTACAAAGAAGATGTAGCGGTAGCCCAGTGTGAGAACATTTTGACCTCTCAATTATGAAAATAATTGAGAGGTCAAAATGTTCGAACGCCCGTGGCAATATGTAGCTATCTATGATTTTAAATAAATTCCTAAAAGGTGATAGAAAACATCGTGACGAAATCTGCCCGTCGATGAAAAATCGACGCCGCCATTCGATTGTCGACGCCACTGTTCGGCTGTCGCCGCCTCCTTACAGCCATTGATCGGACCGAGCCGATTCGTTGCCGTATTATGCCGTTACGTGGTACAGGGTCAAGAGCACGTCAAGCTTGACACTTTAGATTTAAATCCAACTCTAAACCGCTTACGATAAGAACGGACCAAAGTACAAAGTGTCAAACTTGACGTGCTCTTGACTGTACGAGCAGAAACTGAATGCGCAGACGTAAAAATTTTTCTGACCGACCTAACGCAATTAACCAATCGAAAGATTCGGTTAAAATATCCAACAGTTCTGAATCGGGGTCCTGGTTTGTGGATTGTTGTGACGAATTATTTATTTATTTATATTTTGATCCATAAATAACTATCATAAATAACACTTACAAACTATAATTCGTGATAATTAAGTCAAAGTTTTGAAGTTGACCCCTAAACGGCCTTGGTATCAAACTTTATTGATTTCCTTTTCTATCTTATCTTGCTTACCAGGCTATTAACCTACAGCTTTAATCTATTTCTCTGTTTCTCATATAGTACGGTATTCGCATATGTAACAAATTAGTACTGGTCTGGCCCACGCGCAGACCGGTCTTCTAACACAATAAACAAATTCGTTTTGTTATTATTTTGTTTTTTTAATTGAAGTGTGAATTGCAATCAGTAAGGTAAATAATTGTTTTTATATACATTTCGAAATATATTTATAATAAAGATTGTTCTTTCGTAATAAAAGGTCCATTTGGAAAATAAATGTCGTATCATAGAGTTTTAATGACTATTTTCGGCTTACAATCGGCAATTTACTGCAGATACCAATGAAATGCAGATCAAATTATGTATTATATTAAATTTATTGAGTTTTTACGTTTTTTTCTCGTACCTAAACCGCGTATATTGGTTTTTCAAAGATACCAACATTTCGGGCTGTTTACGGGCCCCATGGTCAGTAGTGAATATGGTTTCTTTGATTGAAAGAAAGTCTATCTTTTTTTTTAATTTTTTTTAATCATACGCTAACATTATACGAGTGAAACAATTATTTAAGCTAAGCAATATTAAAATAATCTACGCTATTTTTTCAGATGCTGATCTGGATAATACTGGGCTGCCTCTTTGGCGCATTATATATGTACTTGCGGCAAGTGTATAGCTTTTTTGAAAAGCGAGGTGTGAAGACACCCAACATCATTTCGTCTTTCGGCGCGATACTGGATATTTTGTTACAGCGGAAGCATACTACTGATTCATTATATACGAATTACAACCGGTTTTCTGATCAGAGGTAAGTACTAATATAAACAGAGTGCAAGAGATAGTGTTTACTTTACTTTATTGAGTTTCACTCGTCATTATAAACTCAATAAAATCGATATAATTTTTTTATTACTTAATAATCAAACTTATTAGCCTTTAGTCAGATTTATGAAATTTATTATTATTATATATTTTATTTATTTTGTGATTGATTGGACTGCGTGAGAATAGTGTACAAATAATTATGGCATAAGTTATATATATTGTATATTATTAACCACAGTGATAAACAATGCATTCTTGTAGCGACTGTAATTTCCTTGAAATTTCCAAAAAAATTATCATATTGTCATATTTGAAGATATCTAGTCGTAATATTATGATTTTTGGTATTTAAGTAATAATGATTTATGACTAATAACAATGTTCAGTTTTAAAAATAGAAAACATTTCGTAATTCTATCAATCAATCACTTCTATTTTCGGAAGTAAGATCGCGTTTAAATTACCGCAGATTCCGCTAGGTTATCTAATGGTGCAGAATACTGCGGAATTACGGGGTCCCGCTTTGCTAGTTTCTGTTGTCGTATATTAAAAGAAATGGGTCATTAAAAGTAAAAGCAAATTTTTCACGATATTGAACCTTAGATATTAGCAATTTTCTGATTTAGTCAAAATACGGTCAGCGTTTACCAAACTGTATGGCGGTATTAAATTCAAAACGTGTTTGAACTTTGAACATTCTTTCCTTGGTCTCTTCAAATACTCGCGATTTTGGATCCGAAAAATAGTTCAATTTCCAATGCTTTCTGTTATTTAACAATTCGAGAAACTTTTGAGGTACTTGCCGCGTCAATAACATCTCTGTACAAAACAGGTTGTAATAATGCTTCTTTGTTATTGAAAATATCTTCAGGTAGCAACTCACTATTTAGTTTGTTTAAAATATTTTACCTGATAAGTAACCTCTAGTCAGCGTGACAATGATTATTATGGATTCAGTAAGCGATAACAATAACACAAAAGTTATTTAAAAAAAAAGTTATATTCATATATGTACCTACTCATCACTCATACGTATCTATACGTAAGTATCACAAAAAACAGAAATTATCTCCGTCATCATGAAAAGTGGAATATGTGTGAATTTAATCACCATAATCCTTTATGACATAACAAACAATAACAATTTAGTTAACTAATTGGGTACAGTTAGCGTCAAAATTATCTTAACGGTTAAACATATTAAATTAGTGATTTTGACCTGGTATATATATTTATTAGTTCCGCTGTTGAGCACGGGTCTCCTATCATGCGAGGGTTTTAGGCCATCGTCCGCCACGCTAGCCCAATGTGGGTCAGAGACTTCATACTTATTCCGAGGTTTGTGAACCTTTGTCCTTTTCTTTTCCTTCATCAAAAAGGTCATGGTTAATATCAAATTAAATTTCGCACATAAATTCCGAATAACACAGAGACGCGAGGCCCGATTCAAAGCTTCATGGCATGACCTGGCATGGCATGGCCTCTGCTTGATAGTACAAACTTTCGTCACTTAGCAAACGACACCACTAAATCGAAAATTAGCGGTATTTATTCGAACGTTACTCAAGTCACAATAAATCAAATCAAAAATCATTTATTCTCAGACAACTACAGTCCATATTTTACAGTTATATTATTAGCTTAGATAATTCAATAAAACAAATTTAAATTAAACAAAAGGCAACTTAAAAACATAGAATAATTAAACAAATTAAATTAAATATCAAATAATTCATCGACATGGTTTTAAATGCAGTTTCATGCAATGTAGCATGATCGGGCAATCCACTCTACCAGCCACAACGCGCAGAATCTCATTCGTGCCGCAACGGATACGACTTATTAATGAGGCAGCTCTCTTTCTAAGGATAGCATGGAAACCATCCGTGTGAGCATCCGCGAACATGCCTGCGATGATGCGCTGCAGTACCGTGGCAAACCCAATAAAACCCTGAACGCGTTGTTGTACTGAACGTAATGTATGTAACAATAAAACTTGAATATCAGTAAAAACGATATTACTAGCACACATACTTGATTTGTTATCCAACACGGAGAGTGTACGATGGAATTGCCTGATTTAATTCCGCTTTCCCCAATCCACCGTAAGGGGACTAGACGTAGGCTGCGGTTCAAACCCCATGTTGTGGATATCCCAAAGATTCTCACGAACCGTTTCGTTTACACATTTATATGGCAAACGGCTAAGGAGTGGAATTCCCTGCCTGCAGATTTATTCCCCGAATGCCATAACTTGGGCCTTTTCAAGGCGAGAGAGAATAGGCATTGTTTAAGTGTGCATGCTACGTTGTAGACCTCATCGTCACATTCCATCAGGTAAGATGGAGATCAAATGCGCACTCATTTGTTAATTAAAAAATATAGCATCTTCTTTTTATGCTAACAAGTAATGCGACACGCATGTCCTTAACAGTTGCAGTGTCACTCAGAGCTGTAAATAGTAACGATCTTATTGGTAAGTTGACAAGTCATGTGTAATTTCACCAGCACCCTTACCCTTCAAAACTGAAGCACAGTAATGCTCACATTATTAGATAAGGTGGCACTTGGTGGCACTTCCCTGGAAGAATTCTTTCACAAGAAACTCTACTGCTACTAAACCCACCACCTATTACTAACAATGGCTTAAACAATCTTACACACAATATAATGCAGTTTTTTCCTATACTTGAAAATTACTAGAAAAATTTACATAAGCAGTTGCAAATATGATGTAAAAGTAGATATTTTATTATGCACTTTATATTTTTATTTAATAAGAAATGTAATTTTTTTGGAAAAATATTTTCTATAGATTTGACAAAATTTTTTTGTCAATTGTGACAATTGAGATAATTTTGGCTGTATAATTCATTATATGGAGGCTTGAGCTGGAACAACAAGACATTGGCGATGATATTTTTGCGCCATATTTTTATATTATTTTTACAATAGATTTATAATTACTAAGCGGAAATCCTAAAAAAGCGCCGTCAATAAGCTAAAAGAAGAAGAATTTATTATATTCGGATTATAATAATATAATTAATTTCAATTCGATTAGTTTGTATATGGGGTAGTACCACGAAATGAATTCCGTTGCTTCGGTATTTATAGTACAGGAAATTCCCTAGTTTGAATCTAGTTGGTGTGGTTGATTCTCCGTTTTCATGTTCATAAAGCTTACGTTAAAGTTTTGTAACAAAAGAAGTGCATACACACTTGTTAACCCAATACCAATATTTTTTCGTAATAGTACTGCATGTTCTAATCTCTATGTATGTACCATGCATATATCGTGGGATTTATCTTTAATTACGAGACCTTTAAAGGCTTTCAGCTATTCAATTATTCTGTTAGGTTCTACGGCTTGTTCACGATCACCATACCGACTGTGGAGATCAGAGATATCGAACTGATCAAGAGGATTGCTATCAAAGACTTCGAGTACTTCCATGACCACAACACTGTCATCAGTGAAGAAACAGATCCACTCTTTGGGAAGAATCTCCTCTCGTTAAAAGGTAACTCGAGTGTCTTGTAGTTAGAAATTACGTGAACTCCAAATACCTCTGCTAAAACAGGAAAACTGAAGTCCGGCTTTATTATTATGGCCAACTTTATTATGGCCATATAAAAAGTAAATAAATGAAACCGCTTATTATGGCTGAATAGCCGAGTTAGCAATGGCACAGTGAAGCATAAAAGCCATTACAATGGAAAGTAATGGATCCGAGTATAATCCGAAGGCAGCCCTTAAACGGCTTTTAGGTGTCAAACTAGAGCGTGCAAAAACATCTTCCACAATTTGCTGCCTTTGTAGAATATCGTAATACTGCCGAATGCTACTATATATTTGTAATAATTTAATTTTATAATAATTTTGATCTAACGTAAATAAAGCACGTATCACCTTATGTATAACCATTTTTGACGTAAGAAGATGGGTGTTAGTGTATAAATGCATTTATAGTATAAATGAATTTTAAACTCTTGATCACCAGGTCAGAAATGGAAGGACATGCGATCGACTCTCAGCCCTGCTTTCACCAGCTCCAAAATGAAATTGATGCTGCCATTAATGGTAGAGGTTGGAGATCGGATAATCTTCTCGCTTAAGAAGAAAATCGAAGAGTCACGTAAGTGGATCTTGGAGGTTCATTAAGGCTCCATAATTTTTTACTTTCAATATTGAATATAAATAAGGTTATGTAATAGCTGCAAAACGACACGCAAATAGTATCTCAAGCTTAAATATATCTTTTTTCCACTTTTCATACAAGCATATCCTAGCTGGAATACAACGCATGCATTAAGGTTCATTATCATTGAGATATCAACGTAATGAAAGTATTACTAGAGTCTTTTACAAAGCCTGTATTTCTATAGTTTCTTTTGTTTACAGAGGGTTACTTGGATATCGATATGAAAGATCTAACGACCAGATACGCGAATGACGTGATTGCATCTTGTGCCTTTGGCCTGAAAGTGGAGTCTGACAAGGACGAAAATAACAAGTTTTACACAATAGGAAAATCTATTGCGTCCTTTAAAGTCAGTCAGATATTTATATTTTTGACGTTGTTACTATTTCCGAAGGCTGGTAAAGTAAGTATTTAAAATAATATCCAAGCAGTCTTTTATGTATTAAAAATTATGTTAATTAATTGGACCCATAGCTCAGTTGGTAAGAGCAATGCTACGGTGCAGCATGGACGTGGGTTCAAGTCCCACTGGGTCGACGAAAAATTTTTCTATGTGTTCGATCTTTGTATTCATAATCGTAACAAAACTAGTGGAGTTATTTCACAAAAAATGTTAATAAATATATCGTGAAATACATAAAATCTATAACACTATGTATGGTGTTATGTTTTACGCTTTAAGCAACAAACATTTTTAGTAGCAGTAGAGCTCCTTGTGAAAGAGTTCGTCCAGGGAAGTACTGCCACCTTACCTATTTCTGCCGCCAAGCAGTAATATCAGCATTACTGTGTTCCGGTTTTGAAGGGTAAGGGTGTGGGTGAAATGACAGGCACATGGGACTTGTCGACTTGTGTCTCAGGGTGACGGGCGCAGTGGAGGTGCCCCTCAGATCTATGCGATTTAAAGCTCTGAGAGGCACTGCAACTCTTATGGACAGGCGTATACTTACCATCAGGCGCACGATCTTGTTCGTCCCGTCATTTGATATTATAAAAAAATATGGAATACGGACAAATGTATACTTAAACACGGACAAATGTACTTATTTTATTGAATATATTTACTATCGTAATGCAGCACTATTGTATTCCGGGTGGCAGGGCAGCAACTAATTTGTTGTGCTAAGGATACTTCCCAAGTATCTATAAGCGGTAATAACCGCTTTCCATTGAATTTTTCCTTATTAGGTAACTTTTAGTCTGACAGTAGTATAAATTCAGTCCTAATTACTTTCTTTAGATATTCGACTTGAGTCTATTCCCGAAGAAAGTGCAAGACTTCTACAGGACACTGGTGAAGGAGACGATGCAGACCAGGGAGCTCCAGAAAATTGTCAGGCCTGACATGATACATCTACTATTAGAAGCTAAGAAAGGTATTACCGATTCAGTGGTTTAACGTTATGGAGGTGGCCACTCTAAACATTTACTTGTGTAAATTGGTTGCAAAACTGTATACTGCACTCCAAAAGACAAATAGTAGACGTTAGTTAAAAAAAACACCAGTCTGAAAAACCGGCCCGACACGTCTGCCGCATATCAAGTGTGGGCAAATATCAACACTAAGTGGATCCCATCCAACGCAAACCGGAGACGTGGAAGGCCCAGAAAGAGATCATGACAAAGATCATGAAGAAGGGCATGATGAGCTAGACCGTCTTATAGGATCTTGGCTTGTAACGGCGTTAAATCGCGATGTGTGGAGGAAAGGACCGACAATTATAAAAATCTATTTACACGTATCACAAACTAAACTATACCCACTATTTATATATTTTAAACAATCAATAACGTAAGGTACCTACGATTGTACCTACATTGTAAATAATAATAGTTATTGTTTATACACATTTTCTTATGGATTGTACAGGAAAACTGACGCATGATCAGAAATCAAGCCAAGATAAGGACGCAGGCTTCGCCACAGCCGAAGAATCATCCATAGGCCAGAATCAAATCAACAAGGGTATGTCAAATTCAAATAGTTACAAATTTTAACACTGCAATGGTGTCATTAGTACTGACGTAAGATATTGTTCGAAATCAGTAGAAGAGGGGCAGTCAAAGTAAGTAATGAAGAATAATTTCTATTAAAGCATTGAAACGCCATCTTACGGGCTCGACTCACAGAAATCTATGTTTGCATAGTTTCATCACAGGATGGCGTTATTATCATAATACAATAATCCAACTTCCGTCTCTTCGGTGCATCACACATCGCTAAGAGCGTAGGGTTGTCAAATCATTATTTTGTACCTACAGGTTGTGAACATAATTTAAAGAAAAGATATTACTCACAATAGGTATTCTCGTGCTATATTGAAATAACTTGGAAACGGAACGTAATCCTTTGTGTAAACTACTCGTTATACATTTTTTAGAGATTTATTAAGAACAGTTATTACTTACGGTTATAACGGATTTATAGTGTAAGTGAGTTGATTGAGAAGCATTACTGTTTTCACAGTTAAAGACTCAGTATTTACAATACAGTTTCATTAAGGTACGACGAAAATTACAGTTAATTTTTACAATTTGAATATCACATTCCACCGGCCCAGCAAATCACAGATAACCCCAATATAGTGGTCACCTGATTGTAACATTGAAATGGTGTCACTAGTAAAGATGTAGGACCATGTTGGAAATCAGTAGAAGAATAACTTCTAATAAAAAAATTGGAATGCCATCAGACGTTACGGGTCGGAGTTACAAAATGTCTACGTTTGCATAGTTTACATGTCAATACACGTCACTAAGAGCGCAGGGTTGTCTAAAAATAAATTGTAAACATAATTTTAAAAAAACAATAACTTATTTATTACCGTAGATATTTTCGTGCTATATTGAAATAACCTTTTTCAAATACAGTACTTGCTTATTCCTATTTTTATACTGCACGCGGACTAGTTCTAAATTACACCTATCTGACAAGTGTCTTCCAAAACGTTGATATAATTTGTTAGATAGCGTAATGTTAAATCAATATTTATTTACATGTATTACTGATGAAAATATATTTAGGCTATTCCATAAAAGAAGTAACACCGTTGGGTATTGACTTATTTAGTACTAACCTAAAACGTAGTTTTTAAAATCTCTGTATCAGACCCGAGTAATGGACATTCTCGCTCCCACTTTTCAGCGTACTTGTTGACCTATTTCTATTTGCAATTATTTATTTTTGTCAGTATGGACCGACGACGATCTGTGTGCCCAAGTTATATTGTTCTTCATGGCTGGTTTCGAGTCCGTATCCACTGCCATGTCCTTCTTGATGTACGAACTGGCAGTCAACCCAGACGTCCAAGAGAAACTGTACCAGGAAATCAAAGAGAACGAGGCCAAGAACAACGGGAAATTTGACTATAATTCTATACAGAATATGGTTTATATGGACATGGTGGTATCAGGTAAGGGAATGTAAAAGAGCTTTGTTTGATATATTCTACAAAAACTTTAAAAATATGAACTTAAAATGGTAATTTTGATGCATAATCTCTAACTTGTTCAATATTTTGTATCGTCATTGTGACTGAAAACCTATTTGATATTAATCAAGGGCCAGTTAATCCAGTTACGTTCTTTTTATTTTATTTATTTATTCAGGACATTCTACATAGAAAAACACTACACATTAAATATCGAACATGATAGCTTTAAACTAAGTACTTCTACACTTAAGGAACATCACAGAATGATACAACAATATGCTATGAAATATTAATAAAATTATTGTTGTTTTAAATTATGCGAATATATAATTAATCTATGTACTTATAAAATCGATATACATAAACTGATTTAAAAATTAAAAACATTAAAATATAAATTTGAGAGAATTTATGCAGAACCTTGGCAAAAGAGTGAAATGACCGAGGTTCGTTTTTGAACCTGGTACGGCAAAAAAGTTGTAAGCGCTTTTCCTGGGCAACCTACAAGGAGTATTGAATAGCAACATATTCAATAACTCAGGGCAATCTAATGAACCGTTAACAAGTTTATGTAGGAATATTAATCAAGTCTCTTTCTGCGGTTGACCAAAGAAGTCAAATTGTAATGCTTGAGTCTATGTGAGTACCCCGGAGGTCTCCTAGCCCTAATATCGCCCATAGTGATACAGAAAGCGTTTTTGAACACTTTCCAAACGTTTGATGTACACTTCGTAATGTGGAGTCCAAATAACACTGCTAAATTCTAGTCCAGGTCGTACTAATGCTTGAAAAAGTTTTATTTTTGATGAACACTTCTTGAAATCCTTAGCATTCCGCAGTACGAAACCCATCATCCCAAAACCCTTGTTTACCGCTTTTATAATATGTGAGTCAAGCCTCAAATTTCTGTCTACCAATACCACCAAGTCCCGAATCTCGTCTACCGTCCTTAGTTCATGTCCGTCAATATTGTATTTGCATAAGTTGTTGAGCTTATTGCTTGAAAAACGTATATGATGACAGTTAGCAACATTTAATATCGTTTTATTGGATGTGCGCCATCTATATAAATGATTGATATCTTCTTGGAGTAGTTCCGAATCCTTGGAAAACTTGTATGGTTTTATTTCTTAAAACTCTATACAGAGTTCGAAAGAATGAATGAATAAGTTAGTTTTAATATATCCGAAATAATTCAACATTATTACGAAGTTATCACACTTAATGAACGCGGAATCACATTGGCAGTCTAGAAAACCTTTACGTGTATGTAATAAAAGTGAAAAGGACGTTGTATGTTTAGCTTTGGTGATCCGAGTCGATTAGGTAGTCTAAACAATTTTTATAAATGGTTGTAATGAAAACTTGTTGACGTTTCATGGAAATCGAATCAGCAGACCTTAAGTATTTCTCTTCGCGTCTGTTAGAGATCTTTGTTTATTAGTTTTAACGGATTTTTTGCTATAGTGCCACGTATTAGAAATCTATGAAAGTTATGATTTTTATTATTACCTATGTATTTCAGAAACATTGAGGTTATGGACAGCGGGTTTTGCGCTGGACAGATGCTGTACCAAAGATTACAATTTGGGCAAACCTAATGACGAAGCTACTGAGGACTTCATTGTAAGTGTACTCTTTTCTTTTTTTATATAATACTAAGTGACGGGACGTACAAGTCGTACGCCTGGTGGTAAGCGACACGCCTATCCATGACAATTGCAGTGCCACTCATAGCCTTAAATCCCAAAGATCTTATGGGCACTGCCACTGCACCCGTCACCCTGGCACGTGGTTGATAAGTCCCATGTGCCTGAAATTTAACCAGCACCCTTAATACCCTTCTAAACTAGAACAACGCAGTAATGCTTACATAACTTGGCGGCAGAAATAAGTTAGGTGGCAATACTTCTCTGGACGAACTCTTACACAAGGAGCTCTACTGCTACATGCCTGCTACTAATCAAACGCATCTCATTATCATTATCTTCAAGTCTCTTTTATTGCGAAATTGATTACATACAAATCGATTATATTCGCGATTGTTACATATAGGAAATGAAACCATTTTTTCGGTCCCTTTAGAAGTGACAGTCGACTGACCATGTCCAACATAATTAACCGTAACCATGGGATCTGTAAAGGGCCCAAAACGTTGGTTTATTTGAAACAAATACAAGTACGCTATTTAAATCCGGAGAAATGGTTTCATTTTCTAGATTCATGGAATAAGATTTTTCTTTAAGCAACTTATTTGATGCCCCTTGTTTGCATTTGATGGCATATTAGGTATGGTTAGTACACGTTGCCGAAAAACTCTTAATTTTGTTTTTTAACCGAATTCAAAAAAAAGGAGGAGGTTCTCAATTCGACTAAATGTTTTTTTTGTATGTATGTTACGCGATAACTCCGCCAGTTGTGAACCGATTTTGATGATTCTTTTTTTGTTGGAAATAGGGAAAAGAATTTGAAGAAAATATTCGACATCTATGGGTGGTAAACTAGGGGATGAATGACTTTTGAGGTCGGTTTTTTTAGTACTCTGTACTGAGGTTAGGTTATCTCACAAGTATACGTTTCGTTACAAACCATGATGTAGCGCTATACTATATACGAGTTAACACCATACACCATTTATTCTAAATACATTTTCCATTATTATTTTATCTATCTAGATCCATAAAGGCCAATCCGTCCAGATCCCCGTGTGGGCAATCCACCGCGACCCTAAATACTTTCCGAACCCAAACAAATTCGATCCTGAGAGGTTCTCTGAAAAGAACAAACACAACATCAAGCCTTTCACCTATATGCCGTTTGGACTTGGACCTAGAAATTGTATCGGTGAGAATTTTTATTTGACCTTTTTCGTTAAAGTGAGTATTTATTATCATCCTATAATGGCTTCAAATGCCATTTAAACATGCGATCGTATGATTTTGTCACTCCACGCCGACGCAGTAATTTAGTATAGTGCAATACATACCTACTAACCAAATGCTGTGGTATGCTAAGCATTATGAGGTCTAATCATAATTTTACGGGTAGCGCTCGATAAGGAAGACACCATACTATTATAGTGGAATCGGTTTAAGCCAGGTGGAAAATGTTTAAGAGCGAAAAGACGTTACGAGTTTTACTTATGTTTGAATTGCCGACTCCTGTTATGGACCTGAAACTTTTTTTGACTGGCTTAATGCGATTTCATGTCGATAAGGTGTGGTTACTCCTTAATGCCACATATCCTGAGTAGATATCATCAGAGTACAAGCAACCTGGCTTGGGAAGGATTGCGTCCGGAATACAGGTGTGCCAATAATCATCAGACAACCACAAACGTACAGTTCCAAACGGAACATGTTTCTTGTAATGATATTTCGTGATCATCTGTACTACACAGATCTTATGCGAATTAACTCATTTTTGAAAAGTTTCAACTTTCTCCGTTTTTGTAAGTTTCATGACAGATTTTTATTAGCTAGGTAATTATTTTAATTATTTAGTTAAACTGTCTCTCTTCTAGGACGCAAATTTGGGTGACTAGTGTACATTTAGCGGAGCAAACTGAATCGCTATCGCACCTGTCGCCTTTAATTATTATCATCATCGCCATAATTATAAATCCCACTACATGGATCTTCTAAAAGTTTAGGGCGTTGTCTATTTCCATCCATTAGAAGACGTGATATTTAGCCTTAACCGAAACGTTTTCAGATATCTTCTTATTTATAAAATAATTCTTGTTTATTTGACAGGTTCAAGATTCGCTCTCTGTGAGATAAAAGTGATGGCATATCAGATCCTAAATTCCATCGAAGTTTCGCCATCAAACAAAACGGTTATACCGGCCAAGGTGGACCCCACCTCGTTCAACCTTCGCGCTAAGGGTGGTCATTGGACGCGAGTTAAGATTCGTAAAGAGGTGTAAATTAAAAATGACAGAAAGACGTTAACAACAATAAAGTATTATAATATTTAAGACCGTAATTGTTTTTTAATTTTAACATTTTGTTTGAAACCTATGTGTATACACGCACGCGCAAACGTACACAAAATCAAGCACAGGCGCAGCACACGCACACATTCAATGGTATCGATGGACGACTATAATGCTTACCATCGTGGTGAAAGTATTTGCTGATTGGCTTAAGCTACACGCCGAATGTTGCCCAGGGTACCCTAGACGTGCAGGAAAGGAGTGGCACGTCGTAGGGCGTAGTTGTGGTATGTATAGGGGGACTTCTTTCATGCACCCCATTGACAGCACACTCATTAATATATTCACTTTTTAAATTACTGTGTAATACAGTAATAGATTATGGTTGATTTTACAGAGAGCCAATCAATGATTATAAATAGTCATATCATTTATTGCATAATGTAGTACAAAATGTTATTATTATGTACGTAACATATCCCAAGCATAGGTGCCAAGCCATTGAAGCATAAAATCGAACAAAAATCCTAAATTATGTATTATTAAAGCCGGATTTACATCTGTGTAACGTGTCGTGACGCGTCATAACGGTATCGGTTTCATACACATAACACAAGCCGTCACGTCCAATTGCGACACAGTAATATAAATCTAGCCATATTAAATATATGAAACCGATACCGTTCTGATGCGATACGACATGTCAGACAAATGTAAATCCGGCTATAAACAACACAACAAAAAATATTTATTATAACTAAATTATTATTTGCGTAATATGAAAATACAATTAACAAACAACTCTGGGGGCCTACCACAACCTCTTAAAACAATATTAGTTTAACCTTACATTGACTTTTCGTACCATAACGCGCTTAAAGTAAGCTTATTATAATGTTAAATAAATTGGCAGCTTTGTGACTATTCATTCACTCAGTTCGTACTTATGACGCGACTTTAACATTAAAGTAATATTGCTCTTATGTCACATTTAACAATCTTAAAATAGTTACTCGGACGCAGTGGAAACAATATTATTTTCGAATTTATTGTTTAAATATTGATTTTTAATGGTTAAAAGTTAAGTTAAATACGTGTAATAAGTTTATTTCGTAAAATTATGACAGCGACATCTATATGCTCATCTCGCATCTATATGGCGACGCTATAGACTAAGGCTATATTCCAAATTTACAACGCGACTATCAAGGCTCAGCATGTTTTATTTATTTATGTTCATGAAAATGCGGAAAAATAATTGAAAACGAAGTAATTTTAATAGATTTTATTATTACGTACTTTTGTTTTTTTAGCAGTTAAAATGCTCTGAATGTAAATAACTTATAGTACTTAAACATTATACTATGATAAGACAAAAAGAAAGAGATGGCATTACATAGTTCATATAGCGTTATTTCTTTCCTATTTTTAGTAAGGAATAGACAATATTGAGAAATCATTCGTTCTTTCATTCACTTTAGCAATAATATATTATTTGGTTGACAAGTTTGTCACGACATGAATATGAGTAATATTATAATAAGCTTACTTTAAGATTATATTGAAATAAGATTGGAAATGGAGATTGTTGGAAAGGTTATGGCATGCGTTGCAATGCCATTGAAAACGTGTGAAGTTTTCAATCCCCATTTGGTCAGCGTCGGTCCTCAATCCCCTTCGCCCAGTCCTAATATGACTAGGTGGCGCTAATCTTAAACAAAATAAAAGAATACACTGATACTATCCATAAAAATCTGTGCAATAAGCGCCATCTAGTTGATATGTTTATTATCACTAGAAATTAGAGTAGTTTTGATTAAGTGCAGCTTTTCGATGTAAAACAAATTACTTACAAAAATAGCTATTTGGTACTCGTCGCCACATCTGTATACTGTATAATTGGCACTAAATACTCGACTACGCCATCTTGTATCGCGATTAGCAGTCCTCGAGTTATTGGTCCATGCCTGAACTTAGTATAAGCATTATGAACAAAACATTCCCAAAGTCCGTGCCGTTACGTCAGATTTGTGAAGAATTTGTCCGTTAATAATAATTCACATCAAGTGTTTTTATCCGAAAATTATTAAATTTTACTATATTATCTTAGTTTAGTTAATCAGAAGTTTATTGTTTGTGTAAACATTTAATATAAAAAAGCAAAAGCATCTCTGTCAATGTTTTAATTAATTCATTTTTGTGTTCTTCCAGGTTGGTTGAAATATGATAAGATAAAATAAAATAATGTATTATATTATAATAATAATTTTTGATAATATGTTTGTTTGATAATGTGTTTAATAATATGTACAATTTTTCAAAAAAAAAAAAACTTTTTAGTAATAATAAACAGTAACAATGTTTTTATCGATTACCTGCGAGACAGGCTTTGCCTAGTGCAGGAATCGTAGGAAATTCTCTGTACGCGATATACGCTACAATTGAGTTGTGTTACCTGGTTCTTTGTCGTAACTAAATTGTAATGTGCCTGCACAAGTTCCTTTGTAAATGAATTATTTTGTATTTTTTTTTTTGTTTCATTGCAGAAGTGACTGATATATATCATCTGCAAAAAGGATTGTTTTGTGTTCCGTGCAATCTCATATTATATCGTTAATATATAGTAGAAATAGCAGTGGACCAAGTACGATACCTTGGGGAACACCGTAATTATTACTTTGTAAGTCTGATAATACAATAATCCAACTTCCGTCTCTTCGGTGCATCACTAAGAGCGTAAGGTTGTCAAATCATTATTTTGTATGTACCTACATGTTGCAAACATAATTTAAAGAAAAGGTATCAATCACAGTAGATATCCGCTCACGCGATGCGCTACCCCCACCTACACCTTAAAAGCTAAACCTACCGCAAAATGGCGGCTGTCTGGTTTCGCAAATTAGAAAAGCATTCAGTTTAAATACAAGTTTTTATAAATAATAATTATTATTCTGCATTGCTAAATAAATACCCTCCATACTACCAATAAAAACATCTCAAATAAAATGCAGTAATACACCGCCAATCCTGCACTTAAAAAGCACAAATGAAATTTTTGGTGTACTTGGATAAATATGATAATATTCCGTTTAAGTGGTTTTAACGTTTACCATGAAAGTACTCCTTAAAGTATGGTTTATAAACATTTATATTCAGGGTAAACTTATGGCTATTTCTCGAAAAATAACACAAAAATACGATGGAAAAATATTACATCATTTTGACATTTAACAAAGACGTTGTGATAATTCTCTTGTATTTTGATAATTAATATCTCATATATATAATATCGTGATTTAGTAGCTTTTTACTGGAAATATTAGCAACAGTGGTAAAAAGCTATCCAACCTAGCTATCAGACACCAACACTAAATGAAATACGATATATATACCTCAAAATCAGCTTTCAAAATGACTTAACTCCCTTTCTCACTAGTCTATTAAGGACGTCACATTTTTATTTCACATCGCACAGACATACACCATATCACTTAGATTTTTACGTTAATCGAAAGTTAATGAATTATTCGCACAATTAAATATGTAAGTTGTAAAGTAACACTTAATAATTATACTTTAATTTCTTAATAAAAACCGGCGCGCGTCAGCTGTTTACACCAAATCGCGCAACGGTTACTTGTTTAGGCGCTCTATCTCTGACATAATTTTAGTTTTTTAGTTTTTTTTATACCATTCCATAGCTATAATAATTTCGTTATAATGGTATAATAGAAATTGCGCTATCTAACTTTTAAATAAAATACAATTAAATAAAATGCAATTTACAAAATGTCGTTTTTCCGAAAACTTACTCAGATTGAGATAGCGCTTTTCGGCTTATCAGGGCAGTATTAGCGGATTACATTAATAATAATAATAAATAAAATTGTTTATTGAATAACTTATTGTACAAATAAATAACTAAAGACTAATTATGCGAATAAATGTAAAATATAACACACATACCTGAACTAGGAGAATCCTGTGTTTCAGGTAAAAAGTACTAATTGTACAGGTGGATATATGTATGTATGATTATATTATAAACAAAAAAATAATTACACAATAAAATGCATATCATATACCTATACGCGAATCATATACCTATTAGACAACATTTATTTTGGGATAATTCATAATTCTCTGTACCATCATCGTACACATATTTTGAAGGAATTCTTGGAGAGTTTTCTTAACCTTTATGTAACAAAAATGATATATGGCTAATTTGGCGTTTAATATATTGTATAAAAATGGCCCAAGAAACACAAAAATCTGGAAATAAACACATGTTTTGATGACACAATTTTTTTTCTTTCAGTATTCACAATTTCGTTTATCAAGTTCCACACTAATTCTAAATTACGATGGGCAATGGTCAATTTACGAATAGGACCACTGCACACTTACACACTGCACGCTGGGGCCACTGTACGTGAGCTAAATGGCCTAACTTAAAAATATCGAACTGTCTAACCAGACCACCTTCTGCTAGAAGAGCATTAGCTGGTTCAGGCCCTGGACTGCTGCTAAGAGAGACCTTGGTGTACCAAGAGATTGATGTCGAATGTCGTATATAGTGGTGTAGTCCTGGAGAACATGTGCGTTACAACCGCAAAATTTTCAGATTTTGTTTTGAAAGGGTATGGTTTTATCTATCATTGAATAAATGCCCGTTCTTGAGTTCTTGTGGAGATCTGTAAAAAATATCATATTAATCTATTTAATAATAACGCATAAAAGTATAATAATAATAACGCACACACTCAACATAGCCCCATACTAGAGAAACCCTGCGTCGCGGGTGCCATGGACTCACACACAGACAACCACAAGTTACAACCAAACTCACGAGAGAAATAAATGTAGGCCATACAATTATTTCTGCCGGCCCGGGAATCGAACTTGTGATACCTGCATGGCAGTCCGGCATGGTAATCGTTCGGCCACTATCTCCTTATCAATTAGGAGGATATTCGCGATCGTAACAAGGTCAGTACTAAACTGACGCACGCGCACGCCGGTTGCTTTACAATACGTCGC